GGGGTGGCTGGCGGGTGCACGGTCGCTGCGAATGCAGGAGGGTTGAGCGGCGTTTGGCGGGTGGTCGGCGGGTTTGGGGGCAGGTGTCGGATGTGTCGAGTGCAGCGTGCAGGACTCTCGGTGCCTTGGCCAAGATTCGGGCGAGAGCAGGGCAGCATGCTGAGCCCATAGCGTCTCAAGCGAGTGCTGTGCAGGTGGGGTGAGACGCCAGGGCGCCCGCAGGCCAACCGGTATGGCACACGTCTCCCCAGTATGCGCCAAAAACGACCCCTGCCGCCGGCGCCGCTCGCCCACCCTTTCCCCTGCCGCAGGCAACGACCGCGGCGCGGACGCGTGCACCAAGTCGCCCGCCAGCGCCGCGAGCGCCATCACCGTCGGCGCCACCACAAGCCAGGCAAGCACCGGCGCCGCACACAATTGAAGCCCGACGCGCTCAAAAAGCTCAAACCCGAATTGCACAGGCTTCAAGGCAGGCGCCAGCACGCGTCCCCGAGCTGGGCCGGCGCCTCTATGCGCGTCAGCAATCATCCCCTCCGCTTCCCAGACTCGCCCGCTTCGGGTGCCCCGCCCCGCAAACTCCACCCCGCGCTGGCCGGCTCCAAGCATCCGGTCTTGACTGCCGCCAACCCCCTTCAGCATCACCCTCCTCCCTTTCCGCCCCTCCCCCGCTGCCCGCCCCCCCAGGACGCCCTCGCCTCCTACTCCAACATCGGCTCCTGCCTCTCCGTCTTCGCCCCCGGCTCGAGCATCGTGTCCGCCGGATACACCGACGACAACGCGGTGCGCCCGTCGCCGCCACCAAGCAGCAGCGCTGACAGACGCGCGGGCGCCGCATGTGATCCCTCCGAGCCCAGCCCTCAACTCACGCAGGCCCCCCAGCTCGTTTAGCTCGATGCAGCGCGCAGGGAAACGCGCCCCAGGCTCCACGCCGCAGCACAAATCGCGGTGCAAGATAGATCCTCGGCTGCGATTCACCAGGAAATCCCTCCTCCACTCCTGGCGCCCCTCTCGCCATGCCTGGCCCCCACCCCACCCACCCACCCCTGTCTCCAGGAGTCCACCATGAGTGGCACCAGCATGGCCACGCCCCACGTGGCGGGGGCGGCTGCCCTATACCTGCAGGTGTGTTTGTCTACCTACATACAGTGGGGGGTACTGTTGGGGCTAATGTGCAGATGGTCGCGGGCCCTTGAGGGTGGTTACAGGCTGGGGGAGGGCGGCTGGCTGGCGGGGCGGAGCTGGGGGATCTGTGGAGAGCCGCATGCATGGCCTGCCCTGCCGGCAAGCACCTCGTTACCAGAGGCGTTGCTTGGCTCCGCGCGTCCCGCGGCGCGCTCACCCTCACATTGTGGCGGTTTATGGGTGGGCTGCGCAGGGTGGTGCGGAACACCCTCACCCCTGACGTCGCGTGCGCCTGCGCTCCCCTCCCCCCACAAACCCCAGGCCTTCCCCGGCGCCGCCCCCGCGGCCGTCAAGCGGGCGCTCCAGTCCGCCGCCCTCCGCGCCTCCTTCGACCCCTCCTCAGCCCCCTACCTCGCGCTCGCCATCGCCTCGCGCCTCCGCCCCTCCGCGGCGCCCGCGCCGACCCCCTCCCCGACGGCCACGCCGAAGCCGTCCCCGTCCCCTCAGCCGACCGCGCCTACGACGACCAACCCCTTGTTCCCCAGCTTCGGCTTCACCAAGCCCAGCTGGTGCTCCTCGTGCCCCGCGTGCGCGTTCTGCTCGTGAGACCACCTCACCCCCAACCCCCCAGGGGCCGCCTCGAGCCCGCCCGCGCGCTGCAAATTGGCGCGCGGCGCGGCCCCGAGCCAATAATTACACCCCGCAGGAGGACATCGTTCACGCAGCGCGCCATTTCCTTGGCATTTTTTTGCCCCCTTGTCTGCCGAGTGCTTGCCACCCTCCCCGTCAACCCCAGGGGCCCCGTGCCGGGCTTCCCTAAGTCAATCCCTTCCCTTCTGTCCTGTGCGCCCTGAATCCTCAACACCGCATGCATGCACCCATGCCTTCCTCCGCACTATGCCATGTTTATTGCCACTGCTGCAACCCACCACACGGCAACAAACACTTATCGTGGGTGTCACCCCCTAGGGCGACCACACATCTGAAATGTTCCCAAGAACTGCGCCCAGATTTGCAGCAGCGGTGGGCCCCCACCCGACCTGCCCCATGATGTCCCTGTGTGTTCTTGAAAATTGTTCGTCTGCCAGTGCTTGCCTGTCTTTTGCTGCTTTGTTTTTCGTCACTTGTATGTGAGAGGCACCATGAGCCGTGCCCGTCGTGGCAGGGGGTGGCCTTTCAGGTGCAGGGCCCAATAGAGGGTGGCTGCAGGCAGGGGAGCCGAACGGGCGCTTTGCAGGGCCAAACTTGGCCGCCAATCAAGATGTCCCTGCGCAGCTGCGTAGTCTGCTTTGCCTCGCCTGCTCCATGCATTTGCCTGGCAACCAGCCCCAGCCAACAGAATAAGGACATGATGAACAGCCCGTGGCCACAAGGCAGTAAACACAAAAGCCGTAAAAATGTTACTCTTAGAGTACAATGGAAGCAGATAACACACACACACACACACACACACACACACACACACACATGTGCGCGTGCAATGGAAGCAGATAACTCATGCTTTTCACGATCAGAAAACGCCGTGCCCGACGTGCCGCCACCGCGCTTGTGCAGCCGTGGCAGCACGTTTGTAGAGCGCCTGGAGGCTTGACAACGCACACCTCAAGGCAGTGGGCTCGGCGGCAGCAGCTCAACGCACACGTGCCGCCCGGCCCGGCTACAGCCCAGCATTCTCATCCGCCCCGTCCCCCCCGCCGCCGCCGGCGGCCACCCCGTAGCGCTCGTACCCCGCAGCCGTCCCCTCCGGCCGCCGCGCCTCCGCGAACGCCGCCTTGCCGCCGGCGGCCCAGCCCGCGCCCGCCTCCGCCTCAGCACCCTCGCCGGCGCTGCCGCAGGCGGCGCTGCCTGTCAGGTCCCCGAAAAGCCCGGGGCGCCCCTGGTTGCTGCGGTCAGACAGCGCCTGGCTCCGCGGCTGTGGCGCCGCCGGCCCCTCGCCCCCGCCCTCTGCCAAAGGCCCCTGGCTCGGCCCCTCATCCTCATCCTCCCCCCGCTCCTGCCCCTGCTCGTCCGCCGCCGTTGCGAGCGTCGCGAGCGCCGCCCCGGCGCCGCCAGCCGCGCGCCGCCCGTTGTCCGCTGACTCAGACAGCACCTCGTCCCCCCCGGCGGTCGGAGGGAAGTCGCCGTCGCCGTCCTCGTCATCCTCTCCCTCCTCCTCCTCCTCACCCTCATGTTCGCTCTCCTCGATTTCCCCATCCAACCCCTCCACGCCGCCGCCGCCGCCGCCCCCATGGCAGCCCCCCAAGTCGAGCGGCGCCTCCGTGCCGTGCGTCCCGACCGGCGCCGCTGGCGCCGGCGCCGTCGCCGCGGCCGCGGCGGCCTCCGCCTCTGCGAGCACGGCAGTGCGCTCGCCGCACTCGGGGATGGCCTGCAGGGGGCCGCCCGCGAGCAGCGGCGCGCCGCCGGCGCCTTCGGCATCTACGCCCTCCTCCTCCTCCTCCTCCTCCTCATTTCTCTCCTCATCCATCACCTCCTGCTCCTCGCCTTCCTCCTCCGTCCCCGCCCCCTCCGCGTCCGCCCTCTCTTCACCCTCGCCCGCGCCGCCGCCCTCAAACAGGTGCGCGTCATCCCCCTGCTCGTCCGTCTCTCGAATGACGTCTGGCGACTCGGCCGCCTGGCCCTGGCCCTCGACGCCGCCGCGCCCTTGGCCAGGCTGCCCCCGGCCGCCCTCCTCGCCGTCCTCCTCCCCCTCATCCGCCTCCAACTCATCATCCCGCTCAGCCGCCTCATCGCCGCCGTCCGCGCCAAAAAGCGCGGCGCCGCCCGCGCATCCCACGGCCCCGACCTCCTCGCGGCCGCCGGTGGCTGCGGCGGCGGCGGTGGTGACGGGTCGTGCTGGCGTCGCGGCGGGCGTGCCCAGCCCGGCAGACGCAGGCGCCTTGAAAGCGGAGGCGGACGCCGGCAGCATCACGACCTGCGTCGCGTCCTGAAAGCCGCCGCCGCCGCCACAGCCGCCGGCCGCCCACCCGCCGCCGCCGCTTCCGCCCAGCGGCCCTGCGCCGCCACCGCCGCCGTCCAGCGCCGGCTGCGGGGCTTCGGTGGCAGGCGTTGGCGAGCCAAGCACGAGATCCGCGCCGTCCCCGCAGCCCTGCGCCGCGGGTGGCGCGCCCACCTCAAACCCCGCCCGCTCCTGCTCCTCTCCCTCCTCCTCGCCTCCCCCCTCGCCGCCGCGCCGCGCACGCTTCCGCC